AGTTTAGTGCCCATTATTTAAAATTTACCTGCTCTGAGAATGTAATGTGTATTTTTACATCTCAGTTACTGTTATTATAATCTCTATTTTTATATTACATATAAAGTTACATGTAATTTGCCTTGGTAAACACTTTTTATAGCAATTATTATTATTTTTTTTTATTGGTACCAGGGATCGAACTATGCACTTGCAAGGCAGGCGCTTATGCCGCTGAGCAGAATCCCCAGCCTGTATAGCAATTATTTAGACCTTGTTCTCTTTCCACTGGTTCTGTGGTCCCTTCCTGACCATTTCTACCATGACCGTGGCTATAAAGTATACACTGCTCTCACTAGCTGACAGCCTTCAGCAGGGTACCTGGCTGGTACACGGCGTGAGCTTCACATACCACAGGATGTCTCCCAGGTGCTCTGTTGTCTCCGGGATTTAACACTGCAAGAAGTGAGAGGGGAGCCTGGTTTCTGTACCTTTGTAGAAAGTTTGTTTTGTTTTTTCCTCATCCAGATATTTGTAAGATTTCCCATTACGGTTTGTGTGCCAAAACATTTATCAAAATGTGTCTGGTTATAACTACACCAGTTCTGCTAGAATGCACTCAGACCAGCTAGTGAGTACGCAGTCTTCACATTTCTGTATAAACTTTTGCATTATTTTTGCTGATCTGACAGGTATCAAAGTTCATGTTGATTCTATATTAAGGATTTTGCAGTTCAAAGATGATTAAATATTGCCACTTTCATATAATTCAATCTACCAGGTTTGTCATTAATCCACTTAAATTTGTTTGCTGTTTTTTAAAAGTAATCTTCTTATTTGAGAACAGTTTTAAATATACAGAAAAATTGTAATGATAGTGTAGAGCAGTGGTGGCGAACCTATGGCACGCAGCAGGTTGTTACCACTGAAAGCTCTAAAGGGTCGCCATCACTAGTACAGAGATTTCCTACATGTCCCTCACCCAGTTTTTCCTCCTATTAACATGTTATGCTGTCATGGTGCCTTAGTGATAATCAACGAACCAACATCAATACACCACTATTAAATAAAGCCCATCATTTACTTGAATTTCCAAAATCCTTAGTTTTTTCTATAATGTCCTTTTTCAACTTTTCGGTCTTGCTCGGGAGATTACATTTTATCTAGTTGTTTTAGGCCCTTGGGCTCCTGTTAGCTCAAACATTTCTTGTTTTTAATAACCTAGATGGTACTGAAGAGGATGCATCTTACATTTTGTAGACTGGCTTGCAGGTGGAATTCGGCTGGTGTTTTTTCGTTACGAGACTGGGGTTGTGCATTTGGGGAGGAAGACTGAGGTTAAAGTGCCATTTCCACATGTCATATCCAGGGTTCTGGCAGTGCTGAATATTGCTGACCTTGATAGCTTGGTAGGCTCAGAGTCTGTCAGGCTTCTCTACTGGCACGGACTATGCTTTCTGTAGGGAAGTAATTTAAGAAATGGGTGCTTACATTTGATTCCTTGGGGGCACAAACGACCTATGTAAGTTATTTGGAATTCTGCTACATGAGAGATTTGTCTATTCTCTCCCATTTAAGCATAGAATTGAGGGAATATTTATTTCATACTTTTGGTTACGTTCCAACACTACTTTTATTTCATGTATATAGAGACAGAGTCTTGCTCTGTAGTCCAGGCTTGAATTCACAGTCCTCCTGACTCAGACTCCCAAGTGCAGGGATTTTAGGTGTGAACAACCATGCCTGGTTTTCCAACATTGATTTTCATTTTATTGCTCAAATGTTCCGGCTTTGGCCATCGGAAACTCTTTAGTTGGCTCTTGGGTCCCCTTGAGCCACCCCTGCTGGTGTGTGGTGTGATGGTTATTTTGGGCACTTTCTTACTTTCTGACACTACCAGATGCTAAAGAATCTTCTTGCATATTTCCAGCTCCATAGAATCAGCCCCTTCTTCCTGCTTCCTTTGATTAGAAAATACTATTCAAAGTCAAACTCTTGTTGCTATTGCGCTATTTTGCTCTTGAGCTGGATTCTGTTTTGTGTCTTGGTTTCTTCTTAGGGTCGCACTTTTCCTGTATCCATTACTGTTACCTTTTCTTCTACTGGACTTGTCTCTGGCCAATTCCTCCAAATTTGGAGAAAATCTACCTTATTGATTTTTATTTTGCTTGACATGAACTCTGCTCCCAACTGCCTCTAATGCAGATTCCTGTTCTGCTACCTAATACTTAGGTTTTCTTCCTTGTCCTCTGCACCTCCTTCTCCATACTGACCCACAATAAAGCAGACACTTTCTTTTATTCTGCACTTCCCAGGACTTACCACCCTTTCTTTCCTGAGTACTTTGTTCATGTGTCTCCCTTGCTTTGTCTATCCAGATTCTGAACTTCATTAGTGCCCAAGCCATAGAATGTTGGTTAGGTTTGGTTTCAGGTGATGGTAAACAAATGGCGACCCACAAAGGCAGAAATTCTGCCTCCTGGAGTCACATTCCAGTGGGAAGGGACAGACACCAAAGCAGTGTAGTAAAGTGGATACTATGTCTCACATAATGGGAATGAATTCCAAACCCCGAGAACCTCAGAATGTGTGTGCCCTTATTTGGAAACAAGGTTGCTGCAGATGTAATTAGATAGGGTGAGGCCATATTGGAACATGGTGGGCTCTTAATCCACCAAATTCACTAGTGTGCTAAAAAGGGAAGGATGTGAAAAGAAGGGGAGAAAGGTCCTCAGAGGCAGATGCTGATGTTACGCAGCCAAGGGCTGCCAGGGCCTGTGGGGATGCCAGAGGCCAAGAGAAAGGCGTGGAAGAGCCCAGGGCCCTCAACAGGGCATGGTCCTGCCCGCACCTTGATCTCCAGCATTGGGACAGAATATATTTTTATAGCATTAAGCCACTTAGCTTGTGGCCCTTTGCTACAACAGTCCCAGGAGAAGAACAGAAGTCAATCCATGAAATGGAGAAAATTAGCAGAAAGGAAAAAGTGGGCATTTGAGGAACAAGGATTTTAATTTTAAATAAAGCATCAGGGGAGGCCTCTGTGACAAGGGAATGACTAAGACAAGACTCCAAAAGAGTGCAAGAAGGAGCCAGGTGGGTATATGAAGGAAGAGTCTTTGTGTGGGGAGCCTTGTCCAGCAGATAGCACGGCTGTCCCCAGCCCTGCGCTCTGGGCTGCAGAATCCTGGAATCCTTTCTCAGGATCCCCCGGGCAGTGGGGCCAGCTGGGCGGTGGCATCATCCAGGCCTGGTTTGAATTCTAGCCTGCCACTCCTCAATGGCTGCCATTGGGGGCTTCCTTCACCACCTTGACCCTCAATCTCCACCAAAAAAGCTCTGTCCATTGGAAGGCATTGGAAAGGATGGAATGAAGGAGTGGAGGTCAAGGGTGCCACCCCAGACCTGACCCTGGTCCAGTGCCAGCTATTTTGGTCATTGTTTTCATCATCATTTACGATCCTCCTACTTTGGTTCATCAGGTTGGGTGAGGAACAGACCGTCTGGTTTATTCTCATTTTCTTGCAGCCTTTCAACTAGAACCTTTGCCCCACGTACAAACACTCTTTAAACCCGAAAGCCCTCAGAACTCTGCTGGGCCTTGGAGACCAGGAGCTATTTCAAGTGTTCACCCTGGGGAGACACCCTGCATGTTGCAGGAGAATTTCAGCACAGCACCGGTCTCTCCAGCTTGGCCACTCACCCTTGAGTCTTCCAGTCCCATACTGCCAGGCTGCAACTTGGACAGCTGTGGACCGCAGAGGAAAAGCTTGGGTAGAGCCAGCCCACCACCTAGACTGTCCACAGGCTCCCCCTGCTGCCGCTTGCTCCTGCAGAGTCCCCCAGAGCTGACCTATGACCAGAGGCCCCATGAATGCCCAGAAGAGGACAGTGTTTCTTCCCTTATTCCCTGCCTCTGGCTTGGGAATCCCTCTGCAGCTGAGGGATTTGGAAGCGACAGCCTCAAACTGCCATCTGCTCTGACTGATATAGGCTGGGACCTGTCCAAGTCAGAAGGGACACACCAACAGTTGGCATCTGGGGTCTCCAAGTCGATGGCATCAGAGGAGAGTATGAGGGAATGGAAGAGAAAGAAGTCCACAGTTCTGAAGACACCTGTGGAAGCCTCCAGGAGCTCCCCATGGCCCTGGAGTAAAAGACCAAATGTCTTAGCTCAGCATTCATGGCTCCTGGGAACTCCAAGCTCCAGCCTCAGCGTCTTTCCTCTCCACCTCCCTGCTACAGCGGGCTCCACGGAATTCCTCTGGCTCCCAAGCAGAGGCATAGGCCAGCCTGCACTCTGATCCGCATCCCTCCCCTGCCCTTTTGTGCAACCTGCCTGGCTGGAATACTGTCCCCTTTTTGGAAACTTCCCTGAACCCTCTCCGCAGGTGGAATGAGTCACTTCCTGCCTTTGTTCCCTGGGCCCTTTGTTCCAGGTTCCTCTGAGAGGTGTCTGTCTTGCTCGCCATGCTGTGAGCCACCTAAGGACAAGGTCTAATGGTGGATGGTGTCCAAGAGCCCAGGGGAGGGGCTGGCACATAAAATGCATTTGAGAAAGTTCATGCAAAGAATGGGTAAATGAAAGTTAGAGATTTGTTTACAACCAGAGGAAATTCAAATTGACCCTTTCTGTTCCTCAGTGAGTGTCACCAGATGGGATCAGGAGTCTGGGCTTTCAGTCCCAACAGTACATCTTTGCTGTGGATTTTGGGTAAGGCAGCTCCTCTGTCAAACCCACCTCAACACAGATGATGACTTGTGCTATGCTCCTTCCTGATGAGGCTAAAGGAGAAACTTCTGTTGAAGCTCTAGGGCATGCCGCACCTGGCATCAGTACCCTTACCCAGGCTAGGACAGCAAGCAAAGGGTTAAGCCCTGGAAAGCCAGGGCCTGGAGGCTTCAACTAAGCCTGAGAGCCAAGGATGATATGAACTTGGGGTTAATAGTGAAGGGATTTGTGGAACCCAAAAGCATCACCATCAGCCACGCATCGCCAGCCCCAAGCAAACCGTACCTACCTTGAGCTTTTTGACGCTGGTGCAGGGGTCATTGGAGAAGCTCTCAGTGTCTGAAATCTCGATGTCCTCACCATATAGAACCCCAGTCAGGTCGTTCCTCACCTGTTGGCAAAGAGAAGGCAGAGTGTGAGTGTGCTGGTGGTTTCAGAAAGAGCTGTCAAGCAAGGTCATTTTGGGGAAGTGGTTCAAGCGGACAGCACAATTTTCTCCACTCCACTGGTAACATGAAGGGAGTGTCCATGACAGACACCTGGACAGGAGGAAGGAACCTGCTAAAGTTGCTTGTGGTTCTCCTTGGACAGACTAAGGAACCAATGCTTCCCCAACACATCATCCTGTCCCCCACATCAGGTTCTCGAATAATGTCTTTGTTCTTATTTTGCATTATGAATTTGCGATATTACTTCATTTTTAGGCCAAAGAAATAGCCAAGACCTTGAGAGCGATAATGCAGAATAGAACAAAGAATCAAGAGGTATGGCATTTGCCTGTTAGGTTCTGATACACAGAGTAACTGACATCTGTGTGCCTGGAAAGCAGAAGACTACAAACTCCAGGGCACCAGGACCTGCCCATGTATGAAACAGCCAGTGGGGAAAGATGTCAGAGAGCGAGGAGACTGTGGCAAACTAGTGACCACACTCCTTCTAAAGACACTTGTCATTCAGTTGTCATGCCCGGGCCCAGGATCGCATCCTTTGCAGGGGGTGGGGGGGGGACAAATCAGAAAAACCCCTCACATTTCTCAGTGTTGATACTATTTTTGGGTTCATTTATTTGTTTGTTTGTTTTATAACATAGGAGCCAACTGAATAAATCTGAAGCCCGTGTCTGGCCTGCAGCAATGGCTGGGCACCCTGGGCCATGCATCAGTGGAAACTGGACTGTGTATTTTAGCAGAAAGAGCTGTGTGTGTGTGGGGGGGGGAGGAATCCAGCTTCCTCTTCCTGCTCTGTCACTAATTTGCTTGTGACTCTGATCTATCTATGACCTTCTGTGTCCCTGAGCCTCAGTTTCTTCTTAAGATAATTCTTACAAGCATTTCTCATTCACCACCAGGGATAGCTATTATTAAAAAACAGAGAACAACAAGTGTCTGCAAGGATGCAAAAAAAAAAGCAGAACCTTTGCAAATTGCCAGTGGGAATGTAAAATGGTACAGCATTCTGGAAAACAGAATGGCAGCTTCTCAAGAAATTAAACAAAGAATTACCAAATGATCCAGCAATTCCATTTCTGAGTATCTACACAAAAGAAGTGAAATCAGGGACTTGAATAGATATTTGTTCATAGCACTATTATTCACAGATGCCAAAAGGTGGAAACAACCCAAACGTCTATTGATGGGAGGGAGAGTAAACAAATTCTGGTCTATACATACAGCTGAATATTGTTCAGCCTTAAAAAGGAATGGGATTCAGATACATGCTGTAATGTGGATGAACCTGGAGGATATTATGCTACGTAAGAAAAGGAGACATAAAAAGAGAAAGGTTGTATGATTCCAATGATATAAGGTACCCGGAATAGTTAAATCATGGAGACAGAAAACAGAACAGTGGTTGCCAGGTGCTGGGGGCAGGAGGGGGTGGGAAGTCTTTAATAGAAACAGAATCTCAGCTTGGGATGATGAAAAAGTTCTGGAAACGGATAATAGTGAATGTTGTGTAACAATGTGAATGTGCTTAATATTACTGAATGGTACACTTGAAAATGGTCAAAATGGTAAATTTTATGTTATGGATATTTTGCCACAATAAAAAGGCATCTCTCATTCCAGCAGTCAGCAGATCCTTCTAATGTATATATCAAAGTGTTTTGAGTAATCTGGCCCTAAATGTTACTGGCCACCAGGAAGCCACCACCAAGGAATGGTAACAAAGGAGAAGCCAGTGGGAGCTGCCATATTTTATTTCTTTAAAAGAAACAGGAAAGCAAACGGAGCAAAATGTGAACATTTATTAATTCCAGCTAGCAAGTCCTTGTGAGTTTATTTTATTCTGTGCTTTTTTGAATGCTTGAAATAGTTTTTGATAAATGTCTTGTAAAAGAAAGAAAGTGTCACTGACAGGATGAATATTGTCCACCTATAGTTTTCCTTCGAGTTTGATGGAAGATTGGGAATTAGTTGACCGAAGAGAGTTGCCTTTACCATTAGAGTTTATTTCTGCCACTTCAGTCCTTTTAGGGTGCAAGTGAGATCGCAGGATCGGTTGTGTGTGTCCTGAGGGTGCAGCAGAGTGACAGCACAGTGTTTAAACACAGAACTTGTCCACATGCATCCCAGCTGGACGGCAACCCAGCTCATGCACCAGTCAAAGGGCAGGCACAGCCACACCCTGGCTGTCTACCTGCTCGGTCCTCACATCTAGAGAAACCACTTAGTTTCTCTCGAGTCTCTGTCTTTTCACCTGAATAATGGGCACAAAGTGGTAAGTAACTCATAGGGCTGATTCAAGACCTAGCAGAAATATTGAGGGTATTCAATGGCTTTGGAAATTTTTGGAATATGGTTTAAAGGTTGAAATGATCATTCATAAGGCATAAGGCACCAATTAGAGCTTGGAGGAGCTATGTGTGTGTGGTTGGTGTGTATATGAAAACTATACTATAAATATAGCAGCATAAAGTATTGTATAGGCAATCAGAACCAAAATAAACAGAACACCCAAAAGGCCGTGTCACCCACCCCTAATTTCACAGATGAAGAAACATAAGGGTGATTCCCAGTCCAGTGCTCTTCCTACTCTCCTGGGATGGCACTTCTGGACCTTGCCAAATGTGGACATTTCCAAGGCCCAGTGAACCAGAAGAGGCCAGAACAGATGGTCAGTGCCATCAGTCACTTGCTGCCCATCACGCCAACACAAGGAGTCTGCACTCGGCTCGTGTGTGTACTCTAATGGATTTCTCAGGGACGGTGGACAGAGTACATCAGCAATAAATGGCTGAAGAAACTGAAGCATGGGGAAAACGTGATTGATCTTCCTCACAAGGAAAAGTCGACCCTTTCATATACAGACAGAATGACCCTTCAGCGCACTTGTGAACAACTTACCTAGTAACCTGCAAACACCTGGGGTTTGTTCTAGACCTGTAGTTAGCCTGTTCTGTGGAGCCAATGTCTGATAACAGTTTACTCGATGCTGCATTTCTGTGTTTGCATATGTCTACATCATAAAAGCAAAAACATATTCCTCTAGGAAATAAGTAATCCAAAACCCCAAGAAAACAAAAGTATAGATATTGTTATGGTTTAAAGTTGAATTGTCTCATGAAGATTCATGTACTAGAGGTTTGGCCCCAGTGCAGCAAGGTTCAGAGTTTGGACCTAGAGGTGACTGTGTCAGAGCGGTGCTAACCTTACCCATGGCTTAATCCATGGACGAGTTCATAGCCAGGGCTGGGAGGAGGCGGGCCCAGTGGAGGTGGTGGGGCCCTGCGGCAGGTTTGGAAGGAATACATTGCTCTCAGCCCCTTGCTCTCTGGCTCCTTTCCTGTCTCGCTGCCTCCTGGCTGCCATGAGGCGAGCAGCTTTCCTGATGCACATCCTTCTGCAGTGATGTTTCTGCCTTACCACAGGCCTAGATGCAATGGAGCAAAGTGCCCATGGACCGAATCCTCTGAAACTATGAGTCAAAATAAGTGTTTCCTCCTTGAAGTCATTGTTTTCAAGTATTGGGTCACAGCATCAGAAAGTGACACAGATGCTCTTTAACTTATAATAGGGTTACATTTGAATAAATCCTTCAGAAGTTCAAAACAGCCTAAGTAAAAAAATGGATTGAATACACCTAGTTCTCTGAGCATCCTTGCTTGCTAGACAGAACACTATATAGTGTCAGCTGTGTCCTGTCCTGTGATCACATGGCTCATGGGGCACTGCCACTTCCCTACATGATATCACACTAATATCACTAGAAAAAATCCAAAATTAAAACTTCCAAGCATGGCTTCTACTTAATGGGAATCATTTTGTTCTTTATTTGTTTGTTTGTGACAGAATCTTGTCTTATAGTAAATGCTGGTCTTGGACTTATTGTAGAGTCCAGGCTAGCCTTGAACTCGTAGCAGTCTCACAGGAGGCTGAGTACTGGGAGTACAGGCATGTGCCACACGCCTGGTGTGAATCACTTTTGCACCACTACCAACTCCCCAAATAGTCATCCAAACCATCTCAAGTTGGGAACCATCTGTATTCTCTCACAGCCACATTCAAGCAAAGCCAGGGTCCCCTGGGGTCTGTTTTGCATGTGGGGCTCAGTGAGCAGCCATCAGGAGTTTGCTTTGCTGACAGGCCCAGGGCAGCAAAAGGAGGGAGCCAGGAGGGATGGAGGAGATGGGTGCTGATGGGCAGAAGAGGGAGTCAGAGAAGGCTGCCTTATTTCCTGGAAGTGAGACCAGGGATGTGGAAAGCCATCAACAGCTACTCAAGACTGCAGAAAGGGAGTGAGGAGGCTGGGGTTGCCATAAACCCAGGCCTCCAGGCCAGCCTCAGGAACGTCTTCATCTTAGAACAGAGAATCTAAGCCCAGTCACAGGAACAAACCCTCAAGAGCCACAGAAGTCATTTGGCACCACTGAAAAGAAGGAGGTGGGGGCAGAGGCACAGGAAAAAACAATGTGTATGAGGAGGCTTGAAGGCAACAACTGTTAACCCTCCTTAAGAATGCATGAGAGCTGTGGCTGTGAGGTGATACCAGGATGTGCTGGAACAAGCCCTGCAGGTGGTTTGATGCATGCTCAATCTTGTGATCTGCTGTCCTAAAGGCAACCAGATAAATGAAATAAGCCATCAATGATGATGTGAAAATAAAATTTTAGCCACCTGCCCTCTACTGTGATTAGGAGACCGGGATGCATTAATAAAGCTATTGTCAAAAAAATGAATAGGACCAGGAACCACATTTGAAAATGCATCACTTTTGGAATGAAGGAGGGGATATCACTTCTCTGATCCCTTTCAGGTCACACCTGGGCTCAGTTCTGATCACCTTTTTATGAGGGATAGTGATAAAGTGTCTCATGCTCAGAGGAGTCATTCATGTGGGAAGGACAAGAACGCGGACCCACAGAAGGGCCAGTTGAGGACTATAAGGGTC